CGGAAGCCAACGGGGGCTCCCAGCGGCCCCAAGAGGGCGGGTTAGTCTGGGACCCGCGCTCTGTGCTTACACCCAGCGCGACCCTCGAGGGGCGGTTAGCGGGGAGCGGGGAGTCCCGAGCAGCAGTAAGCGACCCCCGGCTGTGGGGTCTTTGCTCACGCGCTTTGGCGGGAATGGGGGGGTGCGCCTAGGGGAGTCTGGGATGGGCGTGTCAGGGAGATAAACGCACACCCGGGGAGAAAGACAAGGGCCGGAGGAGAAAGAAGGGCCTCGCAGGAGCGAGTTGAAGCGACACCCTGAGACCTGCAGCGTCCCAGACCGGGAAACACATGCAGTGAAATTCAAGACAAATCCGCTTTAGTGTTCAGCCCAGGAGAAGAAGGGGGCGAGGTAATGAGTGCTGATAACAGAAGAAAAAGTTGAGACTCGTGGCTTTACACCGTTAAATAGGATCCCAAACACACAACCCAAACTCCGCTTCCTGGAGTGGGTCCTAGGGCGCACAGGCAGGTGGAAAAGGGCAGGAGCGGAGCCCAGCCCGAGACTGTGGGCTTTGTCCAGCAAGTCCCAGGGCACCTGCATGAAGGTCTTTCCAACCCCAGCCCTCCACCTCACAGGGGCAGTGGCCTTGACCTCCACTGTGAAATAGCCCCCAGTTAGCCCTGGGCCAGGAGGACTTGCTCGCCTGGGCTGGTTGGCGCTGCCATAAGGGCCACACGGTTGCAGTTGTATAATGGGGCAACTTTTCCCGTTTGCTTGAGAAATTCGCAGTCACTGCAAAACGAAAATGTGTCTTATCTCTTAGTCAGAAGAGGAAAATAATATTTGTAACTGCCTGGAATTGGAATCAGACCCTCGGCACATGTTGAATCAGTGGCCACGGGGGTGAGGCCTTGCAGCCTGCAGTCTGGACGGAGTTCTTGGGCTGTAACTGTTTATTGGGTGGCACAGTGAATGACCCCTGACCCTGCCATGGCCAACTTTGATTTACCAAGGTCTATGGGGCTTGGCCACTTGCCCCTTGAATTCAGACCTTTTAAACTACAACCCAGTCTTCTAGCAAGCAGTATTGAAGCTGAAGTATTCCCCAAAACCCAAGTCATTGTCAGAATTGTTTCAAAAACAAAGACAAATATCCAAACTGTATAAGAGATAGAAAGAACAAAAAACCCCATCCCTCCCCCTTCCCACCACCCCTCACTTCTAAAGGAATTTAGAAGAAAATAGCTTGAAAGACCCTCAGGATTCAGGACCCTGTAGAACAAAAAAAGAAGTAATGGCCACCAGGAGGCACTGACAGGGTTGTTTATTATAGTTATTATGCATGAAAATAATATTAAGATAAATAACAATTATTTGCAGAGCCATGGGATAGTTGTAGGTAAATGGCTAGAAAGGGCATGACTCACTGTACCCAGAGAGAGCTATTGTGTCACCCTTACAAAAGGGTCCACAGACAGCCCTCAGCAGGCAGGGATCATGCACCCATTTATTTACAAATTGGCTGTCTTAGGACTCAGAGGTTAAGTCTGAGAAATACTAGCATGCTAAAGAGATTGTTTTTAGGCATTCATTAAAATGGAATAAGATTCAAGTTTAATCAGCCAATGTATAAAAGTGTTCACATCTTTAAATATCTGGAAATTGCATGAAAAACTAGGGAACAATATATTTAAATTACTTTACATGTAGATATCTAGACTGCTGAGCCCAGAAATGTCACACTGATTCTAAGAAAACCATTCCACATACGTATGCTATGTGCATTTCGTTTTTAAATTATTTCATTGTTCAGAATGTAGAATGCCCCTTTGTATCACCCTGGCGGGGACATTCTTTGAGGGTCAGGAAAAAAGAACAAGGCAAGAACCTGACCTTAAAGGTATAATGCTTTCAATTGACATTATTAAGTTGCTACTCTGCAAAGCTGTGCAACAAGTAATTCAGAAAATAAATATCATGACAAAAAATATATTTTTTAATTCAGCATGGGCTATTTGGAAAATGGTTATTATAATTTTAGTGTTAAGGAATTTTATCTCTAGAATAGAACTCTTTTGCAAAGTCTAGCCTGCCCACAGTTGTAGATGAAAAATCTCATAACGTCTTTATCAATACTGAATAAATAGTTTGTCCTTGTTTTCAATTATGCTCTTGTCTAATCACTTCTTAGAATGGCCGTTTCCCATGCTAAGCTGAGCTGACCTAATTTGTTTTCATAAAACAGAAACTCAGAGATCCATGTCAGTGTAATGTTTTGTGGAGTAAGTGGATTAGAGAAACACAAAAATTGAACTAAAAATGCAGTTCACTCTAGGCTAGAGGAATGCTTCTGGGCCGTCACCATATGAGAAACATGTTATTTATGCTTCGTGTTAATGCACGATTACAGATGGAAGCATCAAAGGCCAGTAAATTAACCTGATGCGCCACTTAACCTTTTGTTTATGATTCCACAGAAGTACAATGAAAATGAAATTATGAGAACATCAGTAGCAATTAATTAAATCAGCAAATGTTACCATAAATATTGTCTCTAATGATAATCCCTCACTAATATGATAATGCTAAAGCTATACAACCTATTACATTCTTATAAACATGCCACTAAAAGCACCATGGTTCTCATATTTGCAATGAAACCATCAGCCTGAATTTAATCTTACCATTTGTTGAGAGCCCATGACAGTGCAAATTAAATGTAAAAATTGGACTCAAATAGCTTTACATAGAGACAGGAAATATTTTAATGTTTCCATGCTTTTAGCAGAAAACCTGAATAAAAGTATTGCTATTTGAATACAATCACTATAGTACTACTATAATAAGCCACTATAATGAAAACTTAGGCTCAAAATTAGAATTATAAAATAATTAAAGACCA